ATGGGACAGCACTTAAGGAAGTGCAGTGCCAGCAGAGTATATGAGGAATGGTGACATTCTCTGAAATATGGAGTGTAGATCGAAGTCACGATACCCAATTCTCCCCTTTCTTTAGACAAGTAGCAGCATGTGTTACACTTTGCTATACAACCCTCCTTTCCCCTTCATCTATTTTGGATATCCTATCAAGGCATTTAGAGCCACTTTTTCTTTTTAGGGCTCCATAGCAATTAATAGTAATTGTTTCTAATCTTTTGCTATTACAAATAATGCTATACCATAACCTCTTACATATATCATTTCACATTTGGTGAGAAAATAGCTGAAGATTAAATTCCTAGAAGTGAAATTATTGATTCAAAGAGTAAGTGCTTTTATAATATTGAAAGACATTTCCATATCCTTTCAGAAGCTGTATCACTTCATACTTCTGTCAGCTATGCATGTGCCTCTTTCCCCAGTTGCTTGCCAACCGACAAGAGCGTCTCAGGGTGGTTTCACTTGCATTTTTTTTATTGTGAGTGAGGGTCAGAATACTTCCATTTCTAAGTTAGGAATAAAAATAGTAAATTGGATTGTTGGATAATTAAATGAAATTTGGGTATAGCACTCAACATTGCCTAGCACAGAGCAAGCATTCAATAAGTTATGTGATGGCTGACAATCAGAGCAGCAGGTAGGACAGGACAGATTAAATTAAGAAAATAGTATTCATTTCCATGTCTCCAGGCACAGGGAGCCTTGCTCATTTACATTGCAGTTCATTCGAGGAATACAACGTCAGAGCTTTCTCGTCTCAGAAGAGTAAAGAACCTTTTCCCACTGGAACCCCATCACAGGCTACTGGCAGAGCTGGCGAGAGGTAGGCACAGCCTCCTCGCTAATACTTAGACTTAGCCAACATGGTAAATAAATGTGGTTTCATGTGAAACAACAGTGACGAGCCCGGATGTACATTTCTTTATTCTAACTAAATTCCCAGCTAGCCAAGGTTGGAGTGGGTCTTTCCTTGTGAACTCAGAGGGATGCCAGCCAGCCATTTTATGAAGGTTGAGAGGGCAGAGGCTTCTGAGAAGAAAGGAGAAACAACAGGAAATCTGGCTTCCCCCCAAACAGGACTACGCTGTATCCCACAAGCTAGAAAATAGACCTCTTTATTTTTAACACTCAAACTGGTGCCCACAAAAGGAGAGCCCAGGAGAAAGGTGTTTCCTGTAAGGAGCAGGTCTTCCGAGACGGGCACCCTGTCTTGTGTAAAGGAGCTACCGCTGGGTACATTTTGAATATTTACTCAAAGCAACTGAATATTTTCTTTAGATTTGTGTGAAGCCCTGGCTCCCCACCCCTTTTCTTTTTCTCAATTCCCTATATTTTTAATATTTCCCTCTTGCTTTCTCAGTCTTCTTGCTCCCCTTCATTTGTGTCTCTTACACTCAGCAAGCTGGTATCAGTCTTGCTTTCCGAGATGAGGGGATCTTCTGCTCCTCCCAGGGGCCACAGAAGTGGCTATAAGATGATGTGGCAAAATCTGGTCCAGACC